CCGTTACTTAGGGCCACAGAATTGTTACTCGCACAGACACAGAATTGTTACACAGGGACACAGAATTGTTACTGAGGGCCACAGAACCGTTACTTAGGGCCACAGAATTGTTACTCAGGGACACAGAATTGTTACTGAGGGCCACAGAACTGTTACTTAGGGCCACAGAATTGTTACTCGCACAGACACAGAATTGTTACTGAGAATTGTTACACAGGGCCACAGTTACTTAGGGCCACAGAATTGTTACTCGCACAGACACAGAATTGTTACTCAGGGACACAGAACTGTTACTGAGGGCCACAGAACTGTTACTTAGGGCCACAGAATTGTTACTCGCACAGACACAGAATTGTTACACAGGGACACAGAATTGTTACTGAGGGCCACAGAACACGTTACTTAGGGCCACAGAATTGTTACTGAGGGCCACAGAACTGTTACTTAGGGCCACAGAATTGTTACTCGCACAGACACAGAATTGTTACTCAGGGAAACAGAACTGTTACTGAGGGCCACAGAACTGTTACTTAGGGCCACAGAATTGTTACTCGCACAGACACAGAATTGTTACTCAGGGACACAGAACTGTTACTGAGGGCCACAGAACTGTTACTTAGGGCCACAGAATTGTTACTCGCACACAGACACAGAATTGTTACACAGGGACACAGAATTGTTACTGAGGGCCACAGAACCGTTACTTAGGGCCACAGAATTGTTACTACTCAGGGACACAGAATTGTTACTGAGGGCCACAGAACTGTTACTTAGGGCCACAGAATTGTTACTCGCACAGACACAGAATTGTTACTCAGGGACACAGAACTGTTACTGGGGGCCACAGAACTGTTACTTAGGGCCACAGAATTGTTACTCGCACAGACACAGAATTGTTACTCAGGGACACAGAATTGAATTGTTACTGAGGGCCACAGAACCGTTACTTAGGGCCACAGAATTGTTACTCGCACAGACACAGAATTGTTACACAGGGACACAGAATTGTTACTGAGGGCCACAGAACCGTTACTTAGGGCCACAGAATTGTTACTCAGGGACACACAGAATTGTTACTGAGGGCCACAGAACTGTTACTTAGGGCCACAGAATTGTTACTCGCAGGGCACAGAATTGTTACTCAGGGACACAGAATTGTTACTCAGGGACACTGTTACTGAGGGCCACAGAACGTTACTTAGGGCCACAGAATTGTTACTCGCACAGGACACAGAATTGTTACTCAGGGACACAGAATTGTTACTGAGGGCCACAGAACCGTTTACTTAGGGCCACAGAATTGTTACTCAGCACAGACACAGAATTGTTACACAGGGACACAGAATTGTTACTACTGTTAGGGCCACAGAATTGTTACTCAGGGACACAGAATTGTTACTGAGGGCCACAGAACTGTTACTTAGGGCCACAGAATTGTTACTCGCACATACACAGAATTGTTACTCAGGGACACAGAACTGTTACTGAGGGCCACAGAACTGTTACTTAGGGCCACAGAATTGTTACTCGCACAGACACAGAATTGTTACTCAGGGACACAGAATTGTTACTGAGGGCCACAGAACTGTTACTTAGGGCCACAGAATTGTTACTCGCACAGACACAGAATTGTTACACAGGGACACAGAATTGTTTACTGAGGGCCACAGAACCGTTACTTAGGGCCACAGAATTGTTACTCAGGGACACACAGAATTGTTACTGAGGGCCACAGAATTGTTACTTAGGGCCACAGAATTGTTACTTAGGCACAGACACAGAATTGTTACTCTGGGGGCCACACAGAACTGTTACTTAGGGCCACAGAATTGTTACTCGCACAGACACAGAATTGTTACTCAGGGACACAGAACTGTTACTGAGGGCCACAGAAGAACTGTTACTTAGGGCCACAGAATTGTTACTCGCACAGACACAGAATTGTTACACAGGGGACACAGAATTGTTACTTAGGGCCACAGAACCGTTACTTAGGGCCACAGAATTGTTACTGAGGGCCACAGAATTGTTACTTAGGGACACAGAATTGTTACTCACAGGGACACAGAATTGTTACTGAGGGCCACAGAAATTGTTACTGAGGGACACAGAATTGTTACTCAGGGACACACACAGAATTGTTACTGAGGGCCACAGAACTGTTACTTAGGGCCACAGAATTGTTACTCGCACAGACACAGAATTGTTACTCAGGGACACAGAATTGTTACTGAGGGCCACAGAAACTGTTACTTAGGGCCACAGAATTGTTACTCGCACAGACACAGAATTGTTACTCAGGGACACAGAATTGTTACTGAGGGCCACAGAAACTGTTATTAGGGCACACAGAATTGTTACAGACACAGAATTGTTACTGAGGGCCACAGAATTGTTACTAGGGCCACAGAATTGTTACTTAGGCACAGACACAGAATTGTTACTCAGGGACACAGAATTGTTACTGAGGGCCACAGAACTTGTTACTTAGGGCCACAGAATTGTTACTCGCACAGACACAGAATTGTTACTCAGGGACACAGAACTGTTACTGAGGGCCACAGAATTGTTACTTAGGGCCACAGAATTGTTACTCAGGGACACAGAATTGTTACTGAGGGCACAGACACAGAATTGTTACTTAAGGCCACAGAATTGTTACTCAGGGCACAGACACAGAATTGTTACAGGGACACAGAATTGTTACTCAGGGACACAGAATTGTTACTGAGGGCCACAGAACTGTTACTTAGGGCCACAGAATTGTTACTCGCACAGACACAGAATTGTTACTCAGGGACACAGAATTGTTACTGAGGGCCACAGAACTGTTACTTAGGGCCACAGAATTGTTACTCGGGACACAGAATTGTTACACAGGGACACAGAATTGTTACTGAGGGCCACAGAACCGTTACTTAGGGCCACAGAATTGTTACTCAGGGACACAGAATTGTTACTGAGGGCCACAGAATTGTTACTTAGGGCCACAGACACAGAATTGTTACTTAGGGCACAGAACACAGAATTGTTACTCAGGGACACAGAATTGTTACTGAGGGCCACAGAATTGTTACTTAGGGCCACAGAATTGTTACTCGCACAGACACAGAATTGTTACTCAGGGACACAGAATTGTTACTGAGGGCCACAGAACCTGTTACTTAGGGCCACAGAATTGTTACTGCAGGGACACAGAATTGTTACACAGGGACACAGAATTGTTACTGAGGGCCACAGAACCGTTACTTAGGGCCACAGAATTGACACAGAAGGTTACTGAGGGCCACAGAACTGTTACTTAGGGCCACAGAATTGTTACTCGCAGGGACACAGAATTGTTACTCAGGGACACAGAAATTGTTACTGAGGGCCACAGAACTGTTACTTAGGGCCACAGAATTGTTACTCGCACAGACACAGAATTGTTACTCAGGGACACAGAAATTGTTACTGAGGGCCACAGAACTGTTACTTAGGGCCACAGAATTGTTACTCGCACAGACACAGAATTGTTACACAGGGACACAGAATTGTTTACTGAGGGCCACAGAATTGTTACTTAGGGCCACAGAATTGTTACTCAGGGACACAGAATTGTTACTGAGGGCCACAGAATTGTTACTTAGGGCCACAGAATTGTTACTCGCACAGACACAGAATTGTGTTACTCAGGGACACAGAAACTGTTACTGGGGGCCACAGAACTGTTACTTAGGGCCACAGAATTGTTACTCGCACAGACACAGAATTGTTACTCAGGGACACAGAATTGTTACTGAGGGCCACAGAACTGTTACTTAGGGCCACAGAATTGTTACTCGCACAGACACAGAATTGTTACTCAGGGACACAGAATTGTTACTGAGGGCCACAGAACTGTTACTTAGGGCCACAGAATTGTTACTCAGGGGGACACAGAATTGTTACTGAGGGCCACAGAATTGTTACTTAGGGCCACAGAATTGTTACTCAGGGCACAGACACAGAATTGTTACTCAGGGACACAGAACTGTTACTGAGGGCCACAGAACTGTTACTTAGGGCCACAGAATTGTTTACTCAGGCACAGACACAGAATTGTTACTCTGAGGGACACAGAATTGTTACTGAGGGCCACAGAACCTGTTACTTAGGGCCACAGAATTGTTACTCGCACAGAGACACAGAATTGTTACACAGGGACACAGAATTGTTACTGAGGGGCCACAGAACCGTTACTTAGGGCCACAGAATTGTTACTCAGGGACACAGAATTGTTACTGAGACTTAGGGCCACAGAACTGTTACTTAGGGCCACACAGAATTGTTACTCGCAGACAGACACAGAAATTGTTACTCAGGGACACAGAATTGTTACTTACACAGAATTGTTACAGGGAATTGTTACTGCAGGGCCACAGAATCCGTTAATCAGGGACACAGAATTGTTACTGAGGGCCACAGAACTGTTACTTAGGGCCACAGAATTGTTACTCAGGGACACAGAATTGTTACACAGGGGCCACAGAACCGTTACTTAGGGCCACAGAATTGTTACTCAGGGCCACAGAATCGTTTAATTAAAGAGTATGTCAGACAACATGCAGATTGTAGTGGCAGAGGAGGCAATGTTTTAGGAGCGAGCAGACGTGGCAGCAGAGGAAGGGGTCGAGTCTAGGCAGCACTATTCGCAGCCAGAGGGCTAGTGCTCCCGGTGTCATCCAGTACAGTGGAGGAAGAGCTAACAGAGGGCGGTCAGGAACGGGGGGAGACATCCGCCTCTTCAGCAGCCAGGCGAACAGAAGTAGTGGCGAGGAGAGTGGCTCGGTAGCCGGTGTGTAGAGACAGGTCTGTCTCCTGACCCACACGCAGCCGAGGGGGGCTGTAGGTGAGGCGGAGACCCTAATTGATGATGATGAGGCTGATCGCACTTGGCAGCCCTGTCGTCATCAGGCTATTGCTTCCGCATCATCAGGAGAAGAGGGTGGCAGCTTGGCAGCGAGCAAAACAGTCGGTGGGTTGTCTCCATCGCCACACTCTGCCATGTGCCACTTTCAGGTCTCCTCACACACTGCTGGTGTGTTGAATTTTTTTGACATAGGGTGCTGGCAGATTACGGGCCTCCCATAGCTGCTGCCCGCCCCTATACCGCCTCCTCATGCTGCTGCTGCCAGGTCCACAGTCTCTCATGCCATGTGCCACTTTCAGGCAGGTCTCCTCACACTGCTGGTGTGTTGAATTTTTTGACATAGGGTGCTGGCAGATTACGGGCCTCCCCATAGCTGCTGCCAGGCCCCTAATCTGCCATGGGCCCCTATATACCGCCTCCTCATGCTGCTGCTGCTGCCAGTCCAGAGTCTCTCATGGGTCCCTGTACGGCCTCCCATTGCTGCTGTGTCTCCATCGCCACACTCTGCCATGTGCCACTTTCAGGTCTCCTCACACTGCTGCTGGTGTGTTGAATTTTTTGACATAGGGTGCTGGCAGATTACGGGCCTCCCATAGCTGCTGCCAGGCCCCTAATCTGCCATGGGCCCCTATATACCGCCTCCTCATGCTGCTGCCAGGTCCAGAGTCTGTCATGGGTCCCTGTACGGCCTCCCATTGCTGCTGCTGTCTCCATCGCCCACACTCTGCCATGTGCCACTTTCAGGTCTCCTCACACACTGCTGTGTGTGTTGAAATTTTTTGACATAGGGTGCTGGCAGATTACGGGCCTCCCATAGCTGCTGCCAGGCCCCTAATCTGCCATGGGCCCCTATATACCGCCTCCTCATGCTGCTGCCAGGTCCAGAGTCTGTCATGGGTCCCTGTACGGCCTCCCATTGCTGCTGTCTCCATCGCCACACTCTGCCATGTGCCACTTTCAGGTCTCCTCACACTGCTGGTGTGTTGAATTTTTTGACATAGGGTGCTGGCAGATTACGGGCCTCCCATAGCTGCTGCCAGGCCCCTAATCTGCCATGGCCCCTATATACCGCCTCCTCATGCTGCTGCCAGGTCCAGAGTCTCTCATGGGTCCCTGTACGGCCTCCCATTGCTGCTGTCTCCATCGCCACACTCTGCCATGTGCCACTTTCAGGTCTCCTCACACACTGCTGGTGTGTTGAATTTTTTGACATAGGGTGCTGGCAGATTACGGGCCTCCCATAGCTGCTGCCAGGCCCCTAATCTGCCATGGGCCCCTATATACATCTGCCTCCTCATCCTGCTGCCTGGTCTGCCAGGTCCAGAGTCTGTCATGGGTCCCTGTACGGCCTCCCATTGCTGCTGTCTCCATCGCCACACTCTGCCATGTGCACACTTCAGGTCTCTCTCTCACACACACTGCTGGTGTGTGTGAATTTTTTGACATAGGGTGCTGGCAGATTACGGGCCTCCCATAGCTGCTGCCAGGCCCCTAATCTGCCATGGGCCCCCTATATACCGCCTCCTCATGCTGCAGTCCAGAGTCTCTCATGGGTCCCTGTACGGCCTCCCATTGCTGCTGTCTCCATCGCCACACACTGCTGCCATGTGCCACTTTCAGGTCTCCTCACACTGCTGGTGTGTGTTGAATTTTTTGACATAGGGTGCTGGCAGATTACGGGCCTCCCATAGCTGCTGCTGCCAGGCCCCTAATCTGCCATGGGCCCCTATATACCGCCTCCTCATGCTGCTGCAAGGTCCAGAGTCTCTCATGGGTCCCTGTACGGCCTCCCATTGCTGCTGTCTCCATCGCCACACTCTGCCATGTGCCACTTTCAGGTCTCCTCACACACTGCTGGTGTGTTGAATTTTTTGACATAGGGTGCTGGCAGATTACGGGCCTCCCATAGCTGCTGCCAGGCCCCCCCTAATCTGCCATGGGCCCCTATATACCGCCTCCTCTGCTGCTGCCAAGTCCAGAGTCTCTCATGGGTCCCTGTACGGCCTCCCATTGCTGCTGTCTCCATCGCCACACTCTGCCATGTGCCACTTTCAGGTCTCCTCACACACTGCTGTGTGTGTTGAATTTTTTGACATAGGGTGCTGGCAGATTACGGGCCTCCCATAGCTGCTGCCAGGCCCCTAATCTGCCATGGGCCCCTATATACCGCCTCCTCATGCTGCTGCTGCCAGGTCCAGAGTCTGCTCATGGGTCCCTGTACGGCCTCCCATGGGTGCTGTCTCCATCGCCTCACTCTGCCATGTGCCACTTTCAGTCTCTCTCTCACACTGCTGGTGTGTTGAATTTTTTGATTTTTTAGGGTGCTGGCAGATTACGGGCCTCCCATAGCTGCTGCCAGGCCCCTAATCTGCCATGGGCCCCTATATACCGCCTCCTCATGCTGCTGCCAGGTCCCATTCCAGAGTCTCTCATGGGTCCCTGTACGGCCTCCCATTGCTGCTGTCTCCATCGCCACACTCTGCCATGTGCCACTTTCAGGTCTCCTCACACACTGCTGGTGTGTTGAATTTTTTGACATAGGGTGCTGGCAGATTACGGGCCTCCCATAGCTGCTGCCAGGCCCCCTAATCTGCCATGGGCCCCTATATACCGCCTCCTCCTCATGCTGCTGCCAAGGTCCAGAGTCTCTCATGGGTCCCTGTACGGCCTCCCATTGCTGCTGTCTCCATCGCCCACACTGCCATGTGCCACTTTCAGGTCTCCTCACACACTGCTGGTGTGTTTGAATTTTTTGACATAGGGTGCTGCTGGCAGATTACGGGCCTCCCATATAGCTGCTGCCAGGCCCCTAATCTGCCATGGGCCCCTATATACCGCCTCCTCATGCTGCTGCTGCCAGTCCAGAGTCTCTCATGGGTCCCCTGTACGGCCTCCCATTGCTGCTGTCTCCATCGCCACACTCTGCCATGTGCCACTTTCAGGTCTCCTCACACACTGCTGTGTGTGTAGAATTTTTTGACATAGGGTGCTGGCAGATTACGGGCCTCCCATAGCTGCTGCCAGGCCCCTAATCTGCCATGGGCCCCTATATACCGCCTCCTCATGCTGCTGCCAGGTCCAGAGTCTCTCATGGGTCCCTGTACGGCCTCCCATTGCTGCTGTCTCCATCGCCACACTCTGCCATGTGCCACTTTCAGGTCTCCTCACACTGCTGGTGTGTTGAATTTTTTGACATAGGGTGCTGGCAGATTACGGGCCTCCTATAGCTGCTGCCAGGCCCCTATCTGCCATGGGCCCCTATATATACCGCCTCCTCATGCTGCTGCCAGGTCCAGAGTCTCTCATGGGTCCCTGTACGGCCTCCCATTGCTGCTGTCTCCATCGCCACACTCTGCCATGTGCCACTTTCAGGTCTCCTCTCACACTGCTGGTGTGTTGATTTTTTTTGACATAGGGTGCTGGCAGATTACGGGCCTCCCATAGCTGCTGCCTGCTGCCAGGCCCCTAATCTGCCATGGGCCCCTATATACCGCCTCCTCATGCTGCTGCCAGGTCCAGAGTCTCTCATGGGTCCCTGTACGGCCTCCCATTGCTGCTGTCTCCATCGCCACACTCTGCCATGTGCCACTTTCAGGTCTCCTCACACTGCTGGTGTGTTTAGAATTTTTTGACATAGGGTGCTGGCAGATTACGGGCCTCCATATAGCTGCTGCCAGGGCCCCTAATCTGCCATGGGCCCCTATATACCGCCTCCTCATGCTGCTGCCAAGGTCCAGAGTCTCTCATGGGTCCCTGTACGGCCTCCCATTGCTGCTGTCTCCATCGCCACACTCTGCCATGTGCCACTTTCAGGTCTCCTCACACACTGCTGGTGTGTTGAAATTTTTTGACATAGGGTGCTGGCAGATTACGGGCCTCCTATAGCTGCTGCCAGGCCCCTAATCTGCCATGGGCCCCTATATACCGCCTCCTCATGCTGCTGCCAGGTCCAGAGTCTCTCATGGGTCCCTGTACGGCCCTCCCATTGCTGCTGTCTCCATCGCCACACTCTGCCATGTGCCACTTTCAGGTCTCCTCACACTGCTGGTGTGTTTGATTTTTTTGACATAGGGTGCTGGCAGATTACGGGCCTCCTATAGCTGCTGCCAGGCCCCTAATCTGCCATGGGCCCCTATATACCGCCTCCTCATGCTGCTGCCAGGTCCAGAGTCTCTCATGGGTCCCTGTACGGCCTCCCATTGCTGCTGTCTCCATCGCCACACTCTGCCATGTGCCACTTTCAGGTCTCTCTCACACTGCTGGTGTGTTGAATTTTTTGACATAGGGTGCTGGCAGATTACGGGCCTCCTATAGCTGCTGCCAGGCCCCTAATCTGCCATGGGCCCCTATATACCGCCTCCTCATGCTGCTGCCAAGTCCAGAGTCTCTCATGGGTCCCTGTACGGCCTCCCATTGCTGCTGCTGTCTCCAGGCGCCAGGGTCGCAGCATGTCAGTGGAGGCAAACGGCCACGGAGTCACCAGCTCACACTGCAGCCTACCACCACGGCCAGTATTTGGTGCATAGGTGTGCACGGCAGAGTAGCAGTCCTCCCAGTAGCTGAGGAGTAGCGGAGGCAAATGGGTTTCCTACTCTGGGTGCTGCCGGTGTGGCCATTTTTCGTCAAGCCTACATGGAAGTAAGGGTGCGTAGCCTCCTCATAGCCTGCTGTCGACTATGTGGCCAGAAAGTCAAGCGTGGCCAGTCATGTAGGCCCCCATGTTGGGACTACAGCGTTGCGTCTGCATATGCAGCGTCGCCATTCGGTGGCCTGGGAAAACCGTGATAAAGATACGGCGGTTTCAGGCTCCTGCCACTGCAGGGTTCCAATTTTTGTCATAGGGTGCTGGCAGATTACGGGCCTCCCATAGGCTGCTGCCAGGCCCCAAATCGGCCATGGGCCCCCGTACCGCCTCCTCACGCTGCTGCTGAGCCCACAGTGTGACCTGGGTCCCTGTACGGCCTCCCATTGCTTCCACTCTGCCATGTGCCACTTTGAAATCTCCTCACACTCCTGCGGTTGTCCATTTTTTGTCATAGGTTGCTGGCAGATTACAGGCCTCCCATAGGTGCCACCAGGCCCCAAATCGGCCATGGGCCCCCGTACCGCCTGGTCATGCTGCTGCTGCCAGAGCCCACAGTGGACCTGGGTCCCTGTGCTGTCTCCATTGCTCCCCACACTCTGCCATGTGCCACTTTGAGGTCTCCTCACACTGCTGGTGTGTTCAAATTTTTTGACATAGGGTGCTGGCAGATTACGGGCCTCCCATTGCTGCTGCCAGGCACGTAATCTGCCATGGGCCCCCCCCGTACCGACTCCTCATGCTGTGACGTTGCAACAAGGTGGAATTCAACACTACATATGTTAGACCTCCAATAAACCACCTGCCTTACGAACAGCGAAAAGGCCATGCCACAGATTTCCTGATGTTAAAAGCGGATAAAGGTACTCCCTGTGTAACTTAGATGTCAGCCATTGTCAGCTCATGCGTGACACCTGCTTGCTCAGGCCCTTTGAGGAGGCCACGCTATCGTATGAGTCGGCAGGACTATGGGCATGAACGAGGTCAAATCCCCATGGGCCCCCCACCGTACGCCTGTTCACGCTGATGCTGGTCCCACAGTGTGACCTGGGTCCCTGTACCGCCTGCCCCATTGCTCCCACTCTGCCATGTGCCACTTTCAGGTGGTCTCCTCACACACTCCTGCTGGTTTCCATTTTGTCATAGGTTGCTGAATGGCCTCCCATTGCTGCTGCCTCCACCGCCACACACTGTGGCTCAAAACACTGGTTTTGGCCCCCGTGACTGGCCAAATGAGTGAAGTGTGCGGTGATTCTAAGATCGACGGCACTCATCTGCATGTCATACTGACTGACAGTATTATTTCTCTTCCCCAGCAGACTCCAAGGGCATTTAAATTAAAGGTACAGTGTTCTGCACTAATATATTAAGTCTCTCTGAAGCCTAGAAACACCCTTTTTTAAGTTAAATTCACAGCGAAATTTATTCGACTCGAATCAAATATTGTCCACGAATTCGCCGAATCAGTCGAATCGAATTTTTCATTTCTTCGCTCATCTCTAGTATAATGTCAACACTGTGTGTGAGTCACTGACAGTCTGCCACACAGTGTCATGACCTGGAAAACACTAGTATGTATTAGGCTAATAAATTAGATTAGGAAAATCCCAGAACAGGGTGGCAAAAACACACCCCCATCAATGTCCACATTAGAGTGCCCCCTGTATATCAGGGGCCTCCATCAGAGTGTCAATTACATAGGACTAGGTGTCCCCATCCAGCATATGTGAGTGCCCCCTTACATTAACAACCTGTCCCCGTTAGAGTGCCCCCTTACATCCCCCCCCATCAGAGTGCCCCCTTACATGGATTGTCCCTAGCAAACCCTGGCACCATCCCCCCTCCCGGTGGACATGGTCACCTCCCCCCCCATGACTATATCCCCCGTGAAATCCCCCCCCCCGGACACCCCCCCATATGTGGTTAAACACCCCCCTCCCTGGGGACAGGCCCAACACATAAAGATGAGATCACCTAACACATGCCCCCCTGTATAAAAACCCCCCACCCCCCCCCCAAACCCACCCACATTTGGCCCCCCCCCCCAACCCCCCCCCCCCCCCCCATAAGCCCCCATCCCCCCCCCCCAAATAATACACTCAGGATGCATACCCTAATCCCCCCCCCCCCCCCCCCCCCCACCCCTTGAATCCCCCCCACCCCCCCTTTCCTTAAAAAAAAAAACCCCCCATCCCCCAAAAATACCCCCCCCCCCCCCCCCCCCCCACACCCCCCCACCCCCCCCCCCCACCCCCCCCCACCCCAACCCCCCCCACCAGAACCCCCCCCCCCCCCCCCCCCCCCCCCCAAACCTCCCCCCCCCCCCCCCCCCCCCCCCCCCCCCAGTGCCCCCCACCCCCCCAAAACCCCCTCCCCCCCCCCCAAACCCTCCCCCCCCCCACCCCACCCCCCCCCGCCACCCCACCACTGAGACAGTCACCCCCCCCCCCCCCCCCCACACACCCCCCCCCCCCCCCCCCCCCCCCCCCCACCCACCTTCCCCCCCCCCCCCCCCCCCCCCCCCCCCCCCCCCCCCCCCCCCCCACCACCCCACCCCCCCCCCCCCCCCCCCCCACCCCATTCCCCCCCAACCCCCCCCCCCCCCCCCCCCCCCCCCCCACCCCCACCCCCCCCACCCCCCCAATCCCCACCCCCAAACCACACCCCCCCAAAACAACCCCCCCCCCCAAACCCACACACCCCCCCCCCCCCCCCCCCCACCCCAACAACACTACAACAAAAACCCCCATATGGAACCCAGGCAACTCAACCCCTAATCAACAACCCTCCCCCCCCCATGAAAACCAAACAAAAAAAACCCCCCCCCCCCCCCCCCCCCCCCTCCCCCCCCCCAGCCCACCCACTAAAACCCCCTCCACCCACTTCCCCCCCCCCCCTTAACCCCATATAGACACCCCCATCACCCCCCACTTTATCGAACCCCATCCTCCCCCCCCCTCCCACACTCCCCACCTCCACAATTTACCCCCCCTCCCACTTTCTCACCCCATTCTAGTTTTCCACTCATACCAAACCCCTACTTTGATTCCCACTCCTCATAAAACACATCTTTGCACCAAAAAAAAACCTTCCTCTATGTTATTTCTCCACATGTTCCCCCCCATCTCCTCCCCCCATCTAAATCTGTTTGTGTCACCATAAACATTTACCTTTCAGGTCCTCAGTTCTTCTCCAGCTCACCATTGTTGTGTTGACCATTTTTAATTGCATACCTATGTTTTTTCTTTAAGCCATCCAAGGCACATTTACTGAACTATGTAACCAGCAGGTGTTACCTACAGCCCCTGAAAACCACAGCCACGTTTTCCATGCCACACTTCTTTCTCTGGCACTAGGGCCCAAATTATGATCTTCCACACATGCCCACTGCTTTCATAAACGCACCTGGTTGCATCAGAAAGATGTCTGCCACTTGGCTGCCATCTTTAAACCTGGAAGTGCCCAGCAGCTTCTATGGAAAGAAGCCAAAAAATTTCCATGCAGGCTATGCTGCAGTAGATATTTAAATCCCCCATCTATGCAGCTGAACTGCAATAATGATAGGCTCACAGAGGTTCCCGGAGGCATGGTTGGGAAGCTGTCAGGCACCTGAATAGTTCTCAGTGGCCATCACCTTTGTGCCTGTCAGGCGTTCAGTGTCTTCCCAGAAATGCCAATGGGAATCTCTGTAAGCCTAAGCTGCAGACAAGAATTGGGCATTGGCCCATTCTTGAACATGAGGGCCCAACAGCTTCCTCAGTTTGCTGATGGGCCCTTTTGTACAGCTGAGCTGCTATATGTTCAGGATGACTGCCACAAACACATGTAATGTGGGTAGTGCAATAAGTAGGTGGGGTTTTGTGTGGATGTGGCTTTAATGAGGGAGGAGAAACAGGGAGCCCCATGATCTCCTATTGTCTGGAGGCTGATGGGGTGTCAGTAGACCCGTGAGCATAAACTGATTGTAGAGCTATAGGCTTGACTCATCAAGAGGCATGTTAGATCTCTGCAAAGGAAACAACTGTGTCAGGGATGCGGGTGTGACCAGAGATGTGTGTACTGACACAGGGAAACGCAGGCTTCAGATATGGTATAAATAAGACAATTTATTAAGACTAACAATACAAATATAAACGCAGTGCACCAAACCCCAAGCTAACACAAATACATACAACAAGGTGAAACAAACCCAAACCTAAACTGATATAGATACACAGGTACATACACAAATAGAGCACAACGTAGTCAGGCAGGCCGGGTCGATAACTATCGGGCAGGTAGGTACAGGAGGAGCAGGCGGAGAGAATGGTCGGGGTCACAAGCCAGGGATCAAACAGGAGAAGTCAGCAGAGGTCAGGATCAGGCAGGGTCGGCAACAAGTCAGGCAGAAACAGGAACAGGAATGCAGGTTACAAGGTACAGGGGCCCATGGAAAAACACACACCAAGGCACAGACTGCAGGTCTGGCCATTCCTTAAATACACCCCCTGCAATCAGCCCCACGTGATGGTTAATTGCCGAAGTGAACCTCTGGTTGTTGAGAGCACCCGCTGGCCAGCCCTGGTACTGCAGCCCACAAGGCAGGTGAGTCCCACCACTATTGGCAAGTCCATTCCTGACAAACTGCTTCCACACATACAGCACGGGCCCTTCTCTACAGCATGCTTGTAGGCTCCTTTAAGGAAGGTTTCTTCTTTAAATACTTCCAGGAAAGTTAATGATTTCATATCCTTCCTGTCAGGATCTCATATAAGCTTCGGGTAAAGTAATTTGGGCTGGCAGATAGGAAGAGCAGAGCCAACAGAAGGCGATGGGATGCAAAGCTGAAATTCTTTTTTTTTTGCTATGCCAGGGATGGGCACCTCTACACTACTGGAACTGTAATGGATGATGAATATAAATTCCTTTACTGAACTGTGACTTTAAACTACCTCAATAAAACTGAGTTGGGCTGAACCTATGGCTGATTCATATGTGTGGAGCTGGTCCTGGGTACCTCTGTTGCTCTAAAGAGAGATAGCACCCAGTTCAGCTAAAGTAAAGTTGTACATCTCTTGAAGAAGATAGGATCCAAGGGGGAAAACTCAGTACAATCTGGTTGGATGGTGGTGGACAGGGGAGCACTTTACTGACTTCACTTACTCTGTACTTTATAATGTTAGGTTCAGGCAGCTGCTTTCATGCTCTCATTGAAAAATACACAGTATTGGATGATGATTTCACTTTCTGGGAGGGGAAAAAGAGGAAGGTTAAAGGGACAGCAAAAGATTAGATTTTATACATTTTATTAGATATAGCAGTGTGGTCAACAACTCCTTACATTGATCCATCAGTGTCCTTATGAGGTAAGGTAAGGTAAGGTAAAGTATGTAGTCATGAGGCTACACTGTCAGTCCCTGTTCATCTCTCTAACCTGCCAAGACCTTGTCAAATTTTTAGAGCAGTTGAAGCCTAAACAGGGAAGTCTGTAGAGGGGTAAAGCCTTTCTGATTGCTTACTGTCATGTGTTCAATGTAGGTGTCATGGAAAACTTCAATTTTTTTGAAGGATCCCCATCTAGTTTAAAGTTCTATACAAAAGATGAAAAGCTTCAGGTAGTGGCTAGATCTAAAATCATGTTTTTGGGATCCACTCCCAGTGTTAGTCTGTCCTTTTCT